CGGGCCTCCCCGCCCGCCCCCTGCCCCGCGCCAGCAGGAAGCGCATTCCGGGAATGCTTGGCCCAAACTTTTTTTTTTTTTTCCCTTCCCGCGGCCCGAGCGGGCGATGCTGGGAGATGTAGTCGCCCGGGGCCTGGAGGGGAGGGGATGGGCGCTGTGGCGCAGGGCCGAGCCCTCGTCTCCCCTCTTACCCACCCCTCTCTAGGTGATGACAGCCGACAATTCTTCTTGGCTCTACTTCCAAAACGCATCCTGAGTGTATTCCTTCTGCCTCTCTCTCAGCTGCTTCAACCTGGTGCAAGACCGAGTCTCGTTCATTTCAGTGACCGCCCCCTCCCCCCACGTCCCCAACCTCTTCCCTGGTCTCCCCGATGCCACTCCTGCCCGTCTCTCCCCCAATTCTCCCTCCCCCCCAATTGCAGTTACGACTGCTGTTTAACAAACCATCCCAAAATTTAGTGGCGTGAAAAAGCCCTTTTATCATGTGCACAGGAGTTTGGACAGGGCAGAGCTGACATGGTATCTACTCAGTTGAGGAGACTCCAAGGTTAGGGGTGACTCAGAAATGGGTGGCCCAGAACCATCTGGAGGCAGCTTCACTCACAGGTCTTGCAATCGATGCCAGTTCTGTGCTGGGACCTCTGCTGGGGCTGGGGACTAGGGCCCCAAGTCAGGCCTCTCCATGTGGTCTGGGTTTCCTCCCGGTATGGCAGCCTTGGGGTAGTTGAACTTCTCAGAGGCCACTCAGGGCTCCAAAAGTGAACAACGCAGAACTGCATTACCTTTCCTGACCCAGCCTCAGGTGTCTCAATGTGTCACTTCGGCACCAGATTCAAGAGGGGACATAGACCCCCACCTCTCTCAATAGAGGCATGGCAAGGTGACCTTGTACAAGGGAATGTGGATGGGAGATAATGTTGTGGCCATGTTAAAAAATATAACCTGCCTCATTCCTATGTTCCATTCTCCATATAGCATCCAGAGTGGACGCAAAACTGGAATCAGATTATGGTATAATCTGGCTGAGCAGTCTCCCCATGACTGCTCACCCCACCTAGAATAAAATCAGATTCCTGCCATGGCCTAGCAGGACTTCTGGCCTCATCTCTTTTGCTGAGCCATCTGCTCACCATGTCTCCTTCACATCAAACTGTTCCTGTCCCAAACCCTTTGCACACATGGTTCCTTCTGTCTGGGAAGCCCTGGTTCTTCTGAGGCTACTTTTCTCTCATCCTTTAAGTCCAATGGCATCTCCTCTGAAGGTCTTTGCTGTTCACTACTGCTGTCCAGTCATTATTGCATCACTCTGTTTCCTTTCTTCTAACACTTGCCACAACTTGAATTTAACAGTTCCAGTGGTTTGTTCTGGTTATCTGCCTCCTCACCCAGACTGGGGCCTCTCCAGGTGGTGCTTGTCTAATTTGCTCACTACTGAATGTTCAGGTGCCACATGGTAGAAGCTTGGGTAGGAAGGGATGTCCAAGAGGCCTGGACAGAGGAGATTGTGTGTGTTTGGTTATAATGTGTCTTGTTGTGGATCTCTATGTGTTTATCATATTTGGAGTTTGTTGATTTCTGTGGATATGTAGATTCATGTCTTTCATCAACTTTGGGAAGTTTCTGGACATTATTTCTTTAATTATTCTTTCTGCTTTTTTCTCTTCTCTCTTTTTGGGACTCCAATTATGCATATTTTGGTACACTTGGTGGTGTCCTACACATCTCTTAGGCTCTGTTAACTTATATTGGATGTGTTTGGGAGGAGTTAGTCTGGAGAAGGGTGAAGGGCACTCTTATCCTTATCAGATCCCTGCCCAGATACTTCTGAGGCAGCTGCTGACAGTGGAGAGAGAGGCTGGGGGTCAAGACAACACTTCTTTAAAAGTCCAGGGCAGGGGCCACAGGACTAGAGGTCCCATTTGGGTACCCCAGGGCCTCAGAGGGTCTGGAGGCTGACATGGGGATGAGAGAAGCTCCTAGCCCCACCCACATCATGCCCACATGCCACATAAATATTTATTATTTTTTGTAAACCTTTTTGACAGGGTTTCTATACTTTTTCCTGTTGCATTTATTTGCCTATATGTAACTCATTTAATTCACCATTAGTTATGATTCTCTGAGTGGAAAAAACCAAACTTTCTTCCCTCTGCTATCACACCACAACGATCAACACAGAAGACTTCTGTGATCAAATATATGGAACCCTCCACCCCCATCCCAAGTCACCAATCAATTCTGCAGCAGACATCAGCTGGGTGTCCCCTAATTCAATTCAGTTCTGACTATCTACCTGGAGATAGTGTCAGATTCCACAGGTTGAGGGATCAGTCCCCAAGACTGGCCTCTCCTCTACTTCTGATGCCAGTTGCAAGCCTCAGGTGTTTTACCTGGGCTTCTGACTGACTAGCTATAAATCAGGGTTCCCATGACCCTCTCCTTGGATTTGATTAATTTGCTAGAGCAGTTCACAGAACTCAGGGAAACACATTTTCCAGTTTATTACAAAGGATATTACAAAGGATACAGATGAAGAGATGCATATGCTGAGGTATGACGAAGGGACACAAAGTTTTCATACCTCCCTTGGTGCACCAATCTCCAGGAACCTCCATGTGTTCAGCTATCTGGAAATTCTACAGACCCTGTCCTTTGGGGTTTTATGGAGACTTTATTACGTAGGTATGATTGATTAAATTATTGGCCATATCACCATCAGTCCTTTAGTCCCTCTCACCTTCCCAGAGGTCAGGCTGAAAGTCTCAACCCTCTGATCACAAGGCTGGTTTTCCTGAAAACCAGCTTTCATCCTGAGGCTGTTCCAGAGCCTCCAGCCATCATTTCATTTAACTCATTAGCATACAACAGACACTTATCCCTTTGGGGATTCCAAGGATTTGGGGAGTTGTATGCCAGGAAACTGGACAAAGACCAACTGCAC